CTGAAATGTATAAATCATGTCCATGCAGTTTAACCCCTTAAGGACACATGATATGTGTGACATGTCATGATTCCCTTTTATTCCAGAAGTTTGGTCCTTAAGGGATTAAGGGCTCAAATCTTTTTTATTTAGTAGTTAAATAACTTAATGCAGCTATAGTGACACCTCCCTGCATGTGGCCTACACAGCCTTCCTAAACACTTCCTATAAAGAGTCAGCTAATGTTTACACTTCCTTTATTGCAAATCCAGTTTAATTCAGAATTTCTTATCTCCTGCTCTGTTCATAGCTTGCTAGACCATGCAGGAGTCTTCTTTGTGCGATTAAAGTTAAATTTACAGAGGAGGAAAAAAATCTTTAAAGTAAGTTGTATCTGATTGAAAGTGAAACCATTTTTTTCATTCAGGTGGTGTTAGTAACAATCACGGGAGATGTGGCTAAGGGTGCATGGACAGAAACACAAGTGATTTAACTCCTAAATGGCAGAAAATTGAGCAGTGAAACTTTAGAAGCATAATCTAAACAGCAAAACTGCTCAATTAAGTTGAAGTTGTTTTGGCGACTATAGTGTCTCTTTAATAATGTATGCAATAGTGAATCAAACAGTAAATTCCTTTGGTACTAAGCAAAAAAAAACCTCAGTCCCATTTCCAGCCAATACAAAGTGGCAAAAACAGAAGTAATCCACTGTATAAAACATCATCTGGGAGGGAAGGTTCAGGGTAATGGCCAATAACAATATGTGGGGGCATAAAGTATAACAAAGAAAGGCAAGCTCAGATTGGGTTACCATGGCAACCTAAGTAACAATCAAGGTTAATCATGAAAACATACAAGGTTAATCATGGAGACATAGGTGGATAAAAATAAAGGAGTATCATATAAATGCACAGTGATATCAATTAGGACAAACATGTACAGATGCAGAGAGATGATAAACATTAAATTTAAAAAAAATATGTATATATATATATATATATATTTATATATATATATATATATATATATATCGGTAGTCATGACTACCATGCAAGTGAGGAATATCAGTACTTGTGCACTTTACTGCTGAAGAGCACTATGGTAAACATAGACAATATACACTATACATAGCAGAGAGCCAGTGAAATACACTGAATAAAATTATAAATGCAACACTTTTGTTTTTGCCCCCATTTTTCATGAGCTGAACTCAAAGATCTAAGACTTTTTCTATGTACACAAAAGGCCTATTTCTCTCAAATATTGTTCACAAATCTGTCTAAATCTGTGTTAGTGAGCACTTCTCCTTTGCTGAGTGTAGCGGTTCCAGGGTAACCCGACTGGTTACCTTCGCTAATTACCTTCCTACAGCCCTTCAGGAATCATTTAGGATATAAAGAGACCCATTCCCCCCAGTAACTGTAAGACACTCAGTCCTGGAGGTACAACAACGCTTTATTGGCCACACATGGCTTTTATGCATAACCCCGTGCAAGGGGTTTCCCACATAGACATAGAAGGTCACATCCCAAGATCCTCCTCCTCTCTGGGATACTAGCGCGGGAAGGGACTTGGTTCACTTTGTCCCCAAAGCCTGCCACTGAAAACACAGGGTTTCCACACTAATCGCCAGGGGGTCTTCTTCCCAGGAGCCTCTGTGCCTGGGAGTCCAGGCGCTGGAAAATGGGACCATCCCTTTATCTCCCAGGCACAGGAAAGCCCGCCCTCGGGAAAAGAGCCCACCAAACTCGCCAGCCCCAGAAGTGCCCACACCAATCCCAGGGACCTTCAAAGTGGTACCTTCCTCGACCAGGCTCTGCTTGCGAGGTCCCTGTGTGAAATCCTGCAAGTGAAGCATCTCCTTTCGGGATATGAATGCCCCCCCGGACGGCATTCATCTATACGAAATGGCAGCCACCCAGGGGAGCATTCATTAATTACTTACCTTGCAGTTTCACACTTATGCTGCATGTGAGAATGTTCTGATTAATTGGTGTTAACATTCCAATGGGGCACTGGGGAAGTCCTCATTCGGGAACACGCTCAATGGGTGACATGTCCGGTGAGTATGCTGGCCATGCAAGAACTGGGATGTTTTCAGCTTTCAGGAATTGTGTACAGATCCTTGCAACGTGGGACCGAGCATTATCATGCTGCAACATGAGGTGGTGGTCGTGGATGAATGGCACAATAATGGGCCTCAGGATCTCATCACGGTATCTCTGTGCATTCAAAACACCATTAATAAAATGCACCTGTGTTCGTTGTCTATAACGTATGCCTGCCCATGCCATAACCCCACCGCCACCATGGATCACTCGATCCACAATGTTGACATCAGCATACCACTCACCCAGACAACGTCATGCACGCTGTCTGCCATCTGCCCTGTACAGTGAAAACCGGGATTTATCCATAAAGGGAACACCTCTCCAAAGTGCCAGACGCCATAGAATGTGAGCATTTGCCCACTCAAGTCGGTTACGACGATGGACTCCAGTTAGGTTGAGACCCCGATGAGAATGACGAGCATGCAGATGAGCTTCCCTAAACCACCGGTTTCTGACAGTTTGTTCACAAATTCTATGGTTATGCAAACCGGTTGTTGCAGCAGCTGTGGAGGTCCTGGGCTGGTGTGGTTACACGTGGTCTGCGGTTGAGAGGCTGGTTGGATGTACTGCCAAATTCTCTGAAACACCTTTGGAGATGGCTTATGGTAGAGAAATGATTCAATTCATGGGCAACAGCTATGGTGGACATTCCTGCAGTCAGTATGCCAATTGCACACTTTCTCAAAACTTGATTTTTGTTGTTGTTATTTTGTCTCTCGCTGTTAAAATCCACGTACCATTAAAATTATAGACTGATCAGTTCTTTGTCAGTGGACAAATGTTCAAAATCAGCAGGGGATCAAATACTTTTTTCTCTCACTATATATACATATATATCCATGTTTATTAATGTGTGTATTAGTAATATATATAATTATGCCTATAACATACCCTGATATATTAATATATATATACATAATAGACACAAAAATTGCATTAATATATAACAAAATATATAGTATGTAATGAGCATGTATTGGCCCAGTCTTGTTGCTAGGCATACACTCCAGCAAAATAACATAATTAAAGTGAAGAGCATGCTCATAGGACTTTAAAATAAACAAGATAACTTTATTTTTAACAGTTGTGCAACAGCATACATGCACCATTTCAGTTCCATTAAACTTTCCTTAATATGTCAGGGTAGTTGGACTGAAACATTGATTATATGCAAATGCACATCTGCATTTTTATTAAAATAAATTAGCTTTTCTGTTTATTTTGAATCCCTTTGCATGCTTTCTTTCCCATAGAGTAAATTTTTCTATTTTATTTATTCATTTCCATCTCTATATCTGTACATTATAACGGCATGATGCATTATTGAGCTATAGAATTTTTTCCAGGACTGCTTTTAGTTCCCGGCCCTCCCCTGCTTCCAATATACATTGTGTAGAAATAAAAGCTGTTAATTATTGTGTTAATCCACAATCTATCTGTGTTCTAACGACTTTCTACTTTTTTTGTTGACCAATTTTCTGCAAATTACATTTTCAGCTACTTCAATGATATTCGAGAAGTGAATATATTTGGAGTTCAAAAATAAGGGTCAAACATCTGACCTGAGTGTCGGTAAAATGTATGAACATATTTCTTTAACGGATACCTTTGTAGACATAAATGTATAGATCAGTATGTGGAGAGGTCAAGGCCAACATCACAAACAAAGGTTCATGTGAGTCTGAAATGATGGCCATAGGGATTACAATGACAAAGGTCATCATAATGATACTATACATCAGACAATGCATCTGTTAGAAACAAGAAACAAAACATAGACATTGTAAACTAGCAGATATCAAGAGTATACATAATTTCATACTTTGAAATGACCTTTATGCCTTCCTAAACACTATTTATCTACTGGAAGAATTCTCCTTCCAGCTAATGTTCCAAAAAAATACACTTTAGAAAAACAGCAAACAGACCTTTACTGCACAGTGAAGCAATGTTTATCTTGTAAATTGGTTTGAGAAAGACCATCATCACCTCTTCTTTCCATATGCCTGACTTGAATTTTCAGAGATGTATATATTTTGACTTTAACAACAACTATCACTTTTAATTCTTAATTTACTAAATCAATCTGTCAGTGTTATTGTATCTCTGTTATTCACTAATGTAAGACATGAATTCAAAGAGAATTTAATATTTAAAGTGGCACCGTCGGAGACTTTGACAAATTCACCAAGATCCCCAGCGGTGACATCGCCACTGGGGGTCAGCAACCAGGGATGGAGACAAGGTGAGATTTATTTAACGGAACCTGTCCATTGCGGGCACCATCATCTTTCTCGGCCTGCTCCTCTGCAGCTCCTGGCTCTTCAGCATCAGGAGCTGACGCCACTGTTGTACTCTCGCGCATGCACAACAATACACGCGGGATCCTCCATAGACAAAGCCAACTCCCTGCAGCCTAGTGACGACTGTGGGTATGAACACTTAGCTTATGCCCAGAGACTAATAATGTCAGCTAGAGGAGATATAAAGAGACAAAGTCTCTGTATACCTCTTAACTGTTTTGAAATTTCAGTGAAAAGATAGCCAAGCTAAAAGAACAGACACATTTTTCAAGTTCAGCTATTTTGTAACCCTATGGAACAAGCGCAGCTTAGTGGAAAGGGGCCTGACAGAGCTAGGAGGCGGGCATAGGGGGAAGGCCCTCAGGGATTTGGAATTGGAGTGTTAAGGGCTTGACCCAGTATAAGTAGGCAGCCATTTTAGAATTAGGCACTTTTAATTTGCTTACCTGGCCTAATTTGTGTGCAACTCCTGTCTACAGATTGGGCCTGGTAGGTTTTTCTGTTTTCTTTTGCTGCAGTCAAGTCCCAGAGTATATATCTGGTGGAGCAGCTCCTGGCGGAGGTGAGAGCGGTGGCTTAGCTCGGGTCGGGATGTCAGGCCGCCGGCATGGACGACGTGGAGGTGGTGGCACAGAGCCGCAAGGTCAGGGAACCGAGCATGGGGCTTGGGGACGGTGCTCCGCCCCAAGTTGATGCCGTGGAAGGCCGGGGGAGCGGGATGGTGCAGCTGCATTGCCAGGCGGCCGGCAGTGTGGCTCCCCAGTCGGAGGAAGCCGCACTGGGCATGGGTCCTGCTGTGGTCAGCAGTGGGAGCCCAGGACTGCAAATCACAGGGCCGTCTGCCAGAAAGATGGCCCCTGGTGGCGGGAGATGGAACAGTAAGGCTGCTGTCTCCAGGACAACCAGTGTCGCTGGAGGAGCATCCCACGAGCAGGCAAGTGGCCTTGGAGGGAGTAGATGGTCACAGGGCCAGGGGTGAATCCATGTCGGGGGTTGCTGAAGTGGGCCCCTCCTCCACTAGGAGTATCACTGGGACTAGTCTGTGGCCCTTTGGGAGTTGGGCAGGGGAACTGGCTAGTTGCCTGGGGGTTGGGACGGATGACGGCCCCTGGGGTGGTGCTGGTCCAACACGGCAAGGATGGTGCAAGATGGTGTCGCGGCCTGGTGGCGCTGTGCATGGGCCATGGGTGTTAGTGCCAGTAAAGGGGGGGGTGCAGGATCAGAGTAACCCCTGTCCCTGTGTTTTGTGGGCCCCCTCAGGGCATCTCGGGAGCGGCTGCATCGAAAGTTGACCGCGCCGCGCAAGAGTAGGTACGCAGGGCATCACGGTGCACTGATGCCCCTTAAAGCTCTTGTAGAAGGTCAGTATGGGTATGGCTAGCAGGCACATGCTGTGTTCAGGATAGCAAAAGTGGGATCATGGAACAGCAGGTGGACCAGGCTGGGCACACTTTGGTTGGCAGCGGGGAATGGCGTGGGAGGAGAAAACAGTGCTGGAAGTGCCGGTTTCGCAGCAGGGTGGGCTTGTCCAGGGGGCACGGCCCTCCAGCAGATCTAGGAGCGGTAGGGGGAGCCCGGTGGGCTCTGGGGTCGACAGCCCGGGGTCAGTTGGCAGCGGTGCCCTATGTGATTCCTGCTTAAGGTCCAGGCACTGGTCAGACGCAGCCAGATCTTTCAGGGGCAGTTTGGTAAGTTCCGGATCGGAGTCCCGTCGGATTCCCCCCGATTATCATGGCAGGAGTCATAGCCCCAAGGGTAGACAGGGCTTCTGTTGTCCACAGCGGCTGGGGTGGCCAGTAGAGGGGGCGAATGCTTTGTTGACCAGCAGGCAATTCCTGGGTCACAGTAGGGGGGTGTCTGGTGAATGGTGCACCCTGCCCAGCACTGTCTATTCTCATTTCAGGTTTCGATCTACTTTGAGGCAATCCAGGCAGTGGGTGGCTTCCCACGGTTGGTGAAGTGCATGCAGTTCTGGACCCGTCGGATCCCGTGACGCTGCCCAGAGGCCTACGCAGGCTGCGAGCTTGGTTGGTGAGTTGGACAACACGCAGCACTCACAGGGTTTTATAAATTCATTGCAACGGTTAATTGATTCCTTGGGCAAGAATGTACCTGCAGGGGGGGTGTTATTATGGTGTGGGCTCCGGGTTCATGTGCGTCGTTGGGGGGGGAGCTCCGGCGGTCGTTCCAAGTCAGGTTGTGGAGCGGCGGTGGCAGCGGTGGCCGAGGTGGCATGGATGCGACTGCAGTGTCAGAGTTGGGTACAAAGAGAGCGGAACTGTCCAGGGGCATTCACGGTCAGCGCGGCAGCATGCAAACATGTCCTGCGCGGGCCCTTTAGGAGTGCGTTTGAAGCAGGAGGTGAAGGAAAAAATATGGAAAGTTGAGTTTTGCTAAATCTTTTCGCTTTTGCTGCTGGAGGACTACTTGGACCTCAAGAAGGAGGACAAGAAGAAAGAGGAGAAAAAGCAGAAGAGGTATCGGAAGATACCTAAGTCATTCGTGAAATGGCTGTGTGCTTTCTGCATCTTAGCCAGCATTATCTGGGAGAAGTCACCAGGTCTGTGTTCCTCATTGTTCTGCTATCTGGATGGGGTGTGGGAAGCTTACAGCAAAAACGGCGGTTTGGGGTGGCGAAATACGACAAGCAATTCCAGGAAGTGACTTGCGGTGAACCCAGGGATGCGGTGGGACCAGATGGACCTGCCTCTGTGGATGAAGCCTATGATGGCGCAGAAGTCACCACTCTTTCAGGCAGTGGCCGGCACGCAAAGTCAGTCCTCTTCATCGGCCGTGTTCAAGCAAGGTATTTGCTGGCTCTTCAATAAGGGCCAGTACAAGTGGGGTACAGGGTGTCGGTTTAAACATGAGTGCTCCGACTGTGGGGGTAATCATGGGGTAAGCGGGGTCTCTGGGGCCTCTTCTGGAGTGGGTTCCAGTGGGGCAGTGAAACTCAACATGATGTTACGGTAACAAGTCAGTAGCAAAGTTGTTGTGATCAGGTTTTGCAGAGGTTTTTTTTATCCTGTTTCAAGAAAGAGGGTGTCAGGAAGTGTGCTTAACTTGAAATCAGTTTAAATTCCCAGACGTGGTACCATTTATGTCCCTTCCCTTGCCCAATTTGTGGGCTTCTCCACTAGGGGTCATCCCCCAGAAGGAACTGGGGAAGTTCCGCCTGATTCACCACCTCCCCTATCCAAAGGGAGCATCGTGAATGACGACATCAACGGGGACCTGTGCTCAGTCTCTTATGCATCATTCGACGAGTTGGTTAGGGAGGCTGGGCATGGCGAAGGTGGGTGTGGAGGCGGCCTTTTCATCTCCTGCCGGTGCACCCGGAATGCCATCACCTTATGTGCCTTCGATGGTTCATAATTTTGGGACTTGTGTCTCCCGATGGAGAACTTTCTTGGAGTGGGTGGTAAAGACGGAGGCAGGGTGTTGGTCGATGGTCCACTATTTGGATGACTTCTTGTGTGTGGGACCTGCCGACTCTCAGCGCTGTTTTCACCTGCTGCAGACCATTAAGTGGCTGGCGGATAAGTTTGGAGTCCCTCTTGCAGTAGCCAAAATGGAAGGTCTGACCAACGGCCTGAGTTTCCTAGGTATAGAAATAGTCTCTCGCAAAGGGGGATGTCATCTTCCTCAGGGTTGCGGGCAGTAGTGGCAGAGGTTTGTCAGGCGCGTAAGGTAACATTGCACAGCTGCAGTCGCTCCTATGGGGAGGGTTTTCAGTATGAGTCTGGACAGGGTCTCAGTCAGAATCCGTTCGCCTCATCACTTTGTTAGGGTTACCTGGAGGGCTGACCTGGAGGTCTGAGATGTGTTCCTGTGGGGGTTCAACGGGACGGGGACTTTCAGGCAGGCGGTGGTCACGGCTGTGGTTTTGGAACTGTTCACTGATGCTTTGGGTTGCATTGGCTTTGGGGAGTACTTTGGGGGACTATGGTGTGCGGCGCCATGGCCAGCAGCGTGGGCGGCGAGCTCCCTGATGCGTAACTTGGCTTTTCTCAAGCTTTTCTCACTTCTAGTTGCACTGTCGCTTTGGGGTAACTTGCTGAGGGATAGTAAAGTGGTTTTCTATGCAGAAAATATGTTCGTGGTGCATGCAGTTAATTGGTTATCAGCGTTGTCTGCTCCGGTGGTGCAGCTTCTGCGTAAATTTGTTTTTATGTGTATGTGCCTCAATGTGGTTTTCATAGCGCGGCATGTCCCTGGTTACTTGATTATCATGGCTGATGCTTTGTCTCGCTTTCAGTGGTCCCGGTTCCGGATGGCGCTGCCCGGAGTGCTGGAGGTGGGGGATGACTGCCTGGACGAGATGTGGCAGCTCAGAACGGCCTGCTTGGGAGACTTGTGAAGGCTTCCTTGGCACCTGGCACGTGGACAGCATACTGTAAGGTTTGGGAATTTATGGGAGGTTTCATGGGCTGGGCTGGAGCAGGAGGCTTGCAGGGGGGCATCCTCATATGATTTATGATTGAGCTACTGGATGGGCGTCGCATTTTGGTTTAAGCTGTGTGGTTAGGGGGATTTGACGTAGCACCTCTTGATCCTTCAGGCTTTGAAGGGTTTTGGGAGGGGGTTGTAGGATCCCAGATGCACGGCAGCCTTTGTCTATCAGTGTTTTTGGGAGCCTGGGATTTGCTTCTCCGGCTAAGAAGCTGGCTTGTTTGGCGCTGGTTTGTTTTGGCCTTTTTCAGGGCTTTTCGTATTGGGGAGCTAGTGAGCACAAACAGGCATGGTCTTGGCGGCATTCAGGCAGCTAATGTCCTTACGGGGGTGGATAGGGTGGTGATTCACTTACCTAGGTTGAAAACCGATGTGTGGGGGAAGGGGACAGGTGTGGTGTTGCATGCTCTTCCAGGCTCACAGTTGTGCCCGGTTACCATTCTTGCACGGTACCAGGCATTGCATCCAACAAGGGAGGACGCTTTTTTTTTGCATGAGGATAGTTCGGTGCTGTCACACTTGCAGTTTGCCCAGGTTTTTCGTTTTGGGGCTTGGGCGGTTGGGTCTCAGGCCAGACCAGTTCGGTACGCACTCCTTGCAGATCGGGGCAGCTACAGAGGCCACGCGTCTGGGGTTCGGCAATGAGCTGGTGAAGAAGATAGGGAAGTGGGAATCAGTTTGGTTCCGCTAATACGTGCGGATGGGGATGCTGGTGTGAAGGTAGTGGTGGGTTTAGTGGGTTTTCCGTTGTTTGCGTTCAGCTGCTTGGATCATGGGCAATTTGTTCATGTTCTGGGCAAAGAGGAGGGCTGCAGCTCGTTTCCAGGATCAGCAGCTTTCCTATGGACCAGATCTAATAGACCTGCTATCGTTGCAGGGTAACATGAATAGCTTGATGGCCAGTTTTGTCAGGAAGGTCGGAGGGCTGGTAGTTTGGCATAGGGAACTTGAGGACAGGTTGCCTGGGTATTTTCAGCAAGACGATGTTCACCTCACAGATGTGGGATCTCTTGAATCTAGGGTTCCAAGAAGGATTAATTAGGGCCTTGTTACTTAGGGGTGGCGGAGCTCAGATGGCTTAAGGGGTCAAGGTCTGACCTTGTGGCAGGGCTAGAGAGAAAAGTGTTAGGGGACAAACAGGCTCTGGGTTAGTTTAAATAGAATAGGGCAGTTAGGCTGCTGGTTAAGAATTTGGTTAAACTTTGGTAGGTTTCGAGCTTGGTGGTGGCTCAGAACCTGGTGGGTGGTAGGGGTATCCGGGTATACCCCTACCGTGGTTATTTAACAAAGTGTGGCACTTATATTATGTTTATAATGTTTATTATTATTGTTATTTATGTTATTTATGTTTACGGAAAAATATGGGTCATTGCCTTTTTTTTTTGAGGACATATGATGTTTAATGGCAGGATGGGGGCTCGGCAATGACTTTAATTATATTCTTATTACCATTAATAAAAGCTGTGGACATATTGACCCATACATTGGTGTCAGTGTGTTATAGGGTGTAAGTTTGGGGGGCAACTCTACCTTCCCATATGACGACTATGCGCCTGTCATAAACTTAAAATTTAACTTCACTTTGAATTCACTTTCGGTTCTCACTTGAGTGAATAATCATATCTATGTGTTTTAAACAGAATTCAGTTTGGTTATGTGTTGGGCTTTTGTACTGCATGTTGTTATGCTCTAAAAATGTTAGCAAAATAGTATTTCTCTTCTAAAGGATATTTTAGATCATGCTGAGTTGATGAGATTTCTTCAAGTTTTTCATTGGCAGCACATACATATGTTTTCTGCCATCCTCTTTAACACAAAGAATTTATTAGATTTCATTTCAGTATGGATTTCAATGCATATTTTATAGAGCAAATTGCTTATGATTAATTAATGCAAGGAGGTGTTGTCGGATCAGTGTGCAAGAAACGAGTACTGCAGGAGCTGCTTCTAGTGTTTAATGTTCTCAGTGGCATTTGATTATACTGTTTTTTTTTTGTTTTGTTTTTAAATAGCTCACACCAGCCAACTCTTAGCTCATGTGGTGCCTATGTACCTGCACATTACTATTTCTACTTATTTTGGATATTTTTTTGTTTCTGACTTTCCAACTTATTTTCTTATTTCCTCCTGATCCTATGAAAAATGGGCAGAGATTTTAACTTTTCCTTTTGCATTTCACTAACTCCTGATACTACTTTGATATGTATTTAAATATTATTATTTACATTTAAAATAAAAATAACCAGTAGTGAAGTGGTTAAGAGTACCCTTCGATAAACACATCAAGGTTATTTGCACCCCTGCACCCATTCAACCACGTGTCACTTTCACATTGCTTAATGTCTAGAAATTCATACAGGGTTATTCACTAAAGTGATTTTCAAATTTAAGGTCAAAATATCCAAACTGGAAACATTTTCTAGGTCAGCAATGCTTTCATTTCAGCTGCTCTATGCTTAAATGTGAAATTCACTTTGAATTCACCTTGAATTCTCACTTTAGTGAATAACCCTGAAAGTGTATCTTTAAAGGAACACTATAGCTCTATAGTTCCTTAGTGATCGTTTAGGGGACCAGTCACAAATGCAGGAAGCACAAAGTAGTTTTACTTACCTTTTCTCCCTCTCAGAACTGGTCTCAGCAGCTGGTCCCGCCTCCTTGGCTGAGGTAATCAAAATAGATTATCTCAACCAATCCAATGCTTTATCATAGGAAAAAAAATGGGAGGCTGGTGTGCATGCATGCAGAGTTTTACTATTTTAATTCCTCAGAAGTGTCTCTAGTGGCTGTCTGAGTGACAGCCAATAAAGGCACTTAACTCTGCAA